TAAATATAAATGATTAAATTAAAAGAATCATGAAATCTGATTAGATTTATTCTACTTCTTCACTTGGCTGATGGCAATTGTAATCGATATTCTTGTGAATTTTTAGCCTACCCATGCATTATTTTGGTGGTTTTATCTCTGCTTCTGCACAAAGATGAGTTTTGCTTGGTCATCCTCGTGAACACGCAGATGAAAATATCTGGGGATAATTTCTATTATAGATCATAGAAATGGGGATGAATTTTGAATTCAAGGATGTAAACTATGGGATATTTAGAATTCTAGTTGATATTTATAGCTACTTCTTATTTTTTTAATGCTCACACAGGCAGTAATATTTAAAAAAAATGCCACAAATCTAAATATTTTAATAGTTAAAATATTGATCAAAAATCCTCATTTGGAGAGAATTTTATGCTCCTGTTTCTTTAAGGTGGGCCCTGTGCTCTGCAGCCACTGTTTTCCAATATTTGGAATGATGAGTAAATAGAATTACTCCCCCAGCCCATCCTTTCTGTTTACATTGTGTAATTACCAGCCCCTCTCCATGCCTCGCAATAATTGACTTGATATTGATAAATAGATTAGCTAATACACTAAATGATTATTCCCCACTAAATGAATCAGGCTGCTTTTGACTTCAAGTGCCATTAACAATAAATGCATGGATTTGGGACAGCTTTTTGCATTTTGCATTAAGCAGCCCCTGGAAATAATAAAACACCCAGAGAGCAGGAGCAGAGCCCAGGATGCTGCTCCTTCCCTGGGCTGGGCAAAATTCACCTTTCCCCATCTCCTGAATTCCTTCCTGGCACCCACAGCATGGAAAACTTTGCCTGGAAAACTCCCAGGAGAGGTTTAGAGCAGATATTAGGACAAATATTAGGATATTATGGTGTATTAGGATATTAGGTTTTAGGGTATTTGTAAATATTTTCATGGTAAGGGTTGGGAAGCATTGGAATGGGGGTGGTGGAGTCACCAGCACTGGAAGGGTTAAAAATGTGTGGATGTGGTTGGACTTGATTTTAGGCATCTTTTCCAAGGTTAATCCATGATTTTAGGGGTTTTTTTAAAGCCTGTTTAAGGGTCAGGATGGGTGAAGATGAAACTCAGGGTGGGTGTTCCATCCATGGTGTCACTGTGCCGGGTTTTGGGGTGACCACCCGTCTTTCTGGGGGTATTTATTCCCCAAAAATAGCGATTTTATCACCTTGTTGTTGGTGATGATGATAATTCCTAATTCCTGTAGGACTGGTCCAGT